CCCCCCCCCCCCACTTCCTCTAATGCAAGCAGTTTCAAAGAGCCCAGGGCCTGTGCGGGGACCCTGACTGGCTAGTGGAGATCCGCAGCGCGAAGATATCGGGAGGAGGAGGAGGAAACAAAAGCAGTCGTGAAACCGGGCCAGGGTTCTATGTGAGAATGGGCTGCTGAGTCAAGCCTCACTAAGGCGACTTGTAAAAATACATCTCACCAACCAGAATACACGGTTTCTGCTAGTGTAAGATGCACACGTGCCGAGATTTTCTTTGATTAACGGTGTTAAGAATAAACGTGTTTGAAAGTAAAGAAGACCATTGGAACTATCGCAGGAGGACCTTGCAACTGGGGAGGGAAACGAGGCTCAATTCCATGTCCACAAAGACAGCTGTGGTCTCCCGCCTGCTGGAGCCTGTGGGTCAGGAGGTGGAAGACTACGACAGACCTGCTGGCGATTAGGGGAGTCTCACCAACCCTGCCTTACAGGAGCCCTGCTAAAGTCAGGCCAGGATTTAGCCCTCACCAGCCTTCCGGTCAGGGGAGGGGATTCTCTCTAAACCAATTTAGCCCAGCCAGTGTGTGCCTGGAGGGAATTCAGCGGCAGCCGCTCATCTCCGGACTTCCCCATCAAACAATCAAACGCTGGAGCAACCTGGCCCTTCCCTGCCCCGGCCAGGTGAGTGGACCTATGACTCCGAAGAGAAGACGGTGAGAGCCCAGAGAGTACAAACTGCAAGGCATGAGCTAAGAAGCTACGGAGTTAAATATCCTCCCCACAGGCCCCTCCACCTAAGTCGCCCAGGCTGGGTTTGAATTTGAGATCCTTCTGCCTCAGCCTCCCAAATGTGCTGGATTGTACCACATACCATCACTGCAGGCATTTGGGAATTTAAACGTGAAAAAGAACCAGCAGTTTGGGCAGGCTGTAAACCTACTCTTATCTGACAAAGCTATGCATAATTTAAGTTTAATCTTAGTCTCTGTAAATGGATACTAAAAGGGAGTTCAAGATCTCATGATGCCCTGAGCTCACGAAAGGCAGAACAATATTCAGACATGATTTCCTCGCTCAAGCCTCCAAATAGTACTTCTCTCGAGGGTCTAGGAAGGTGGGAATGTGCGACAGTTTTTGAGAGAACTTGTTCATTCCTAATTTAATCATGTAAGAAATTGAAGTGTAGCCCAGAGAAAAAGATTTCTTTGGAGAAGACTAGGCATTGAAATTTTTATTTTGAACAAGATAAAACAGAACCACAGATGTTCCCGGGTCCCAGAGTAAGATGTTCTATTATCTAAGAGTAACCCCGAATTATGGGGCCTGTGATTCTATTGCAAATAGGTAAATTGATTAGGTTAGGGTTTCATCCGGTAGGCAGTTAGCCAGGGCCAGCACAGGAGGAGCCAACATGGACAGCAAAGATACAGTTGCAGAAGGCCAGCATCATAAAAGGAGAGAACTACCCTGGCCAGCTCCTGAAGAGCAGTGACTGATATGCTAAATAGTATCAACCACCTGGGTAATCTTCCAAGAAAGATCATGGACCCACCCCTTTCCACGGAAAATCCTTGCTCTGTTCCTTGTACGCTTGCTACATGACTTGTTTCCCCATTGGACCCCCACTTAATCAATAGTACCTAGGTGACTCTACTTACAATCTTATTGGTTGGTCATGGTTTTGCCCCACCTCATGCCCAGTATATTTCCACTGGATCTTACTGTTTTGTTCCATTTTGTACTGCCTCACCACACAGCTTTGCTATATAAACATCTTTGAAAAGTGGGGTGAGTGGGTAACCCATGTTCTGGTCCCCCTTCTGTCTCTCTTAGACAGAAGCTATCTTTCTCTCAATTCATTTTCCTCCTCTTAATCTCTGTTCCTAGACTTCATTCTTCAATTTTAGATAACATGAACTCGCACTTTGGGTATCTAGCAGGTTTGGGAGTGTTACATCTTTTCCCCCTATATCAATTTCACCCAGGGCCAGGGATTTAGCTCAGTGGTGCTGCTGCCTGCCTCAAAAGTACAAAAAACAAAACCAAAAAACCCCAACAATATCAATTTCACCCAAAGGACAGGGAAAGTAAGAGTTCTGCAGGCATCTACGAAGAGACCGCGAGTCCAAAGGATAATGGGTTAGTTTTCTCCTGTGTGTTCCCTATGAGTCCTGCCCTTCTGCTCTAAAGGTCACACCATCACTGATGCGTAAAGTATCTGCAACAAGGTGGGTGATCCTCCTTCCCGTCTTTTAACCAGTCAGACAAGTACGTTGAGTCTCTGGTACACAAATCACAAGGAACATGGACCAGGCATCTGGGGACACCCTTGGGTGGATTCCAGGCCATTTGGGGTGTCTAGATTGTAGAAGAGAAGCCTGGGCTGGCCAAGCAATCTTACACAGACAAGTCCCTAAGACGATTTCAGGGATGGATGAGTACTGTTAAGGAGATAAAATGGGGAGACGGCCGTTAATTTGTGTGTGATAATTAATCAATCTGATAAAAAAATAAAAGTGGGAAGGGGGAAAAATTGAATTGGGTTGGTATGTACATGAAACAATTCCCTACAAGGAATGGAACAACATCTAGTGCAAATATGCACTAATAAATTTTTAAAAGCATAGGGGGTGAGTGGGGTAGAGAATAAAGACATTTCTGAGTGGTAACTTTGGAGATGAGAGTTACAGGATGAGAAGGAAGCAACCGCATGAAGAACTAAGATAAGTACTCTTCAGAGATAAAAGAACTCCCTCCAGCATGCTCGGCAGGTGTTAGAAATAGCAAGAAAGGTTCATAGTTAGGACAGGGGGACACTGGGGACTGGGGATTGAGATTCCTGGGCAGCAGCCAAGGACGGGCTCAAACAGGGCCTTGCGGCAATCGGGATTTAAAAGGTTTTAAAAGAGAATGACAAGGTTTTAAGCAACCTGTAGGCTCTTTGAAGTCACTTTCCCTACTTGGTGATCCTAACAGTGAAAGTAGAAGGCAGCTCCATTAGAAAGTCATGGCTCTTGTAGCTTTTGCTGCTTCTGTGAACGGTTGCTGCTGTGCCACCCTGCTTGGAGTGGGCCGATTATGGACTGAAAGCTCTGTGAAATGACAGTCAAGCCCACAGCGGCTCAGGAACCCGAACAAGGCAAACTGGTACGGGCGGAGCCAGGATCATACTGCCAGCAGTTTCCTCTGCAATCTTTGGCCCTGTTCCTGTGCTACCTTTTAGCAAGACAGCAGAGTGTCCGGCCTCTTGTTCTTCAAGTGTGAAGCTTGGGAAGTCAGTTTGTCATTACATTTTCAGGAGGGGCCAAAACAAATGGATAAGGATTTCTCTGTTTTGTAAATGATCTTTAAGAAAGAAGAATTAATGATATTTCTACAAGAAATTAGTATCAATAGAGGACTGATGATAGTAGTATTGACTCTTGACTTCTGCTTACAAGTCCTTTTGGTTTTGCCTATCCTGAAGCTATTTTCCTACACAATAAATGTTATCTGTGATTGAAATGGGAATGAATGAGCACCTTATTTTTCTCCAGGATGTTTGCAATAACATTAAGAAAGGCATGGATTCAGACCACAGCAAAGATGCTGGTGGGCTTATGGGCTAAAATACAGTCCCAAAAGACAGATCCATGTCCTAATCATCAGAACCTGTAAGGTTACCTTATACTTACAGCAAACACTCTGCAGATATAACTGCTTCAGGATACTGAGATGAGGAAATTATTTGGACTGTACGGGTGACTTTAAATGCACTTCCAGACATCCTTCTAGTAAGAGAGGAAGGAGAGATCTGACAGCAGAAGGCAGCAATATGACCGCAGAGACAGAGACTCAAATGAAATGTCCACAATTCAATTAAAGGACAGAATTCTCTCCTTTAGTCCATGTAGGCAGGGCATGAGGCCCTGTGACACTGGCCTCCAGAACGCTAAGCGAATACATTTCTGCTGCTGTGAACTATGGTGATTTCTTACAGCATCCACAGAGAAAAGGTGGCTTGGAGGAGGAGCTTAGTGGAGAAGTCCACAAGTGACTGGAATAAAAGTACTATATCTTTGCAACGATAAAGAGCTGCCTAGCATATGGAAGGCCCTGGGTTCCATCAGGTCCCGCAGGAAAAGCTGTTACTGAGCACCGTGTTCCAGTGTTCACACTGAAGAGCCATTGCATTCTCCACCGTCCCTACACTATCTATGCCCCCGAATTCCGCAAGGCAGCGGCTCCTTGGACAACGACTGGCAACTACTTCCCTTTTTAAGTCTTTGCTCTTCCCTGCTGGAGGCTGAATCCCTTTTCACACTCAGCCCCTTCACTCCTGCCCTAGCATAAAATAAACAGCCTGGTTCCCCACACAAAGCCCGCCCTAGGTGGTCTCTCTTCTCTCCGCCTAACACAGGTCCAAACCCCAGCGACACACGGAGGTAAAACCAACAGGTCTCTTGCTGTTTATGGTTTGGGCGCCCTGATGGAGGATGAATGAAGACACCACTGACGGAGAAGGAAGAGGGGTCAGGGATTCTTGGGTTGCTGGCTGCAGTCCTGTCTGAGCCGTGTACGATGGCATGTGCCCCGGCTCCTGGCCTGTGCGACCCGCACGACCTCAGGACAGAGCAAGGCTGGGCAGTCAATGGCGTGGAGATGCAGACGCGAACCGTCCGTGTATTCAGGCAGGGAGCCTCATCAGCGCGCCCGAGAAGACCACACTGGGGGAATCCACCTCGAGGAAGCCACCGCGGGGCTGGACGGCAGGCGCCTCGTCAGGCCCGTGAACGGGACGGGGAAGCCTAACTCTCTCGAGTCTGACGCTAAGGGGGAGACAGACGGCCTGCGGTGGAGGGCTCCGGCTGGCTCACAAGGCGGCGGGTCCCGCAGAGGTGGCTGCTGCCTGACGAGAACTGCGAAGGGGAAGCGGCGGGGAGGCCTGGCGTCCGAACGGGGCCGAGTACAGGGGACTCAGCCCACCCGAACTTTCCGCGCCCGCGGAGAGAAAC